AACCCCTGACATTCTGTGATTCTGTGAAAATGTGTTAGTGGTTTTATTAAATACACTAGGCCGTGTTACTTGCCGACTGAAGTCCTGAGTCCCGCTGGTCTGAAAAGTCAAGTGATTTCTCATAAGGTCAGTGTTATCAGATTGGTTATTTAAGGTGAAATTTAAAAAAATGAGGTTGGGTTGCTGTAGCTGGGAAGTCAGTATGTATGCATTTGTCCAAATCAGGGTTTCAAGTGATCTGGTCTGAAATCACTTGAAGATAAGTCTTTCAGCACTGTGACTCATTATGTAAGGCGAACATATGTAGATGTGGCACCTAACCTTTCCTTAAGTTTCATGTAGATACTATTAGCCTGTCTGCCTTTTTTTGGTAAGGATAAATTTTATTTTTATAAAGACATGGATTCAAGTGAATCAATAACTGTGGCAGAAGGGAAAAGTACACTAGTTAATAGCTTCATGTGAACATTTGAACAAAAATAATTTTATATCAGCTGCTGCTGCCGCTGCCTTTGCTTCTTGTTAAAATGATTTTTCTGTTCTTCATGTTACTGCTTTGTTCGTACCTGCTATCAGATAAGTTTCATCTTTTTTTGACAACTATGTCTTTAATAACTTTTTTGTTTCATAGGAATCATTGCAATTGGCCAGATTAATGAAGCAATTGACCAAGGAAATCCTGAGAAAACTCTAGAAACCCTACTGCTTCCCACAGCCAAGCTGCAAGATGTAAGACCGGTAAATGCAAGGCATTATCAGGATGTTCTGCACCATGCCAAAGCACAGAAATGCAAGGTTAGAGCTTTGACTGTTGCTCTTTGTCAGAACTGAAATGCCAATTCTCTTCACTTGCCTTTGTGTCCTCTGTCTTGTTTCCTCAATATTTGGATTAGCTGTGCCCGCAGGGTTGTAAATAAGCCAACGACAACAAACAGACACTAAGTAATTTGCCACTACAATTTATTTGGACTGGCAAAAGGGATTAATTCTCAATGTATTAATAGTAAGACATATTCTGCATATGTCACTGCTGACTAGAGGTAACCTTGCTTATTTTTAGCTTTACTAGGTTGCTGCAGCTATTGCAAGATGTGGAAAGTAGAGGCCAGATGTAGTTATGAATTTGTGCAAGGATCTAGTTACTAGACTGTGTCAGGCAAGTAGTTACGATATGGACAGGAATTGAGCTTTTGCCGAAAAGATGTCATGGTTGTGCTGAGGGAGTCGTGTTCCTTAACAAACCTCTGGGAAGTACTTTGAGTCTCAGTTGCTTAAATCTGATGTTTTATAGTAGTGGAGTTTTGTGTGTTTTTCTGTTCTGGTTTTATCATGCAATAACAAGCTGGCTGTCTTGTACTTGCCTTCAGTTTAAACCTATCTCAGCAGGATATTGCTATCTGCTTCCCCAAAAGCAGTGCCCTGGTTAGCATCATAGCTTGGGGGACCATAAACAAAGACCAGCCTAACAGCTTGCAGGATGTGACTGAACTCAGGATTAGCTAAAGCTACTAGCACAGCACTTAAAATGTCCAATGATTGGAAAAGATCCTTAAAGAAAATAAAATAATGTGTTCGTAAAGTAATATGGTCAGCTGGACAAAGTCACTGAACTTAGGCTTGTACAAATATCTCACCTGCAGTGAAACTGTGTTTCCACAATCCATTGTCAGAGCTTTCAAAAGGTGTTTGCACATCAATTTCTTGCTTGGGCTCCTAGGTAAGGACTGCTTTTGCTGAACACTGGATCCTGAAAAGCCGTTTCCCTTGCTGTGTGTGCTGGGGGAGGGTTTGGTGCATGCTAACTACCTCACCTGTCCTGGAAGGGCCACAGTTGGGATTCGTGTGCAGAGAGTGTCTGTGCAGGCAGTGGTTGTGCAGTGCTGGCCCAGAACATGCCCTTTGTGCATGTGTAGCGAGCTGAGATGTCCCCAAGGCAGAGAACTACAGCCCAGAGTGCCCCCACACCTGCACAGAGCTGCCCCTGCCCCATCTCACTGCTGCTCTGCTCCCTGGGTGCAAGCCTGGTTCTTGTGTGAATATCGCTGGTAGGAAACAAATGGGGGTGTCTCCAAGCTTTAGAACAAAAATGGGGCAATCTTTTTGAAATCTTCCCTTTAAAAATTTATGAGGCTTCTGCTGGCCTCTCTCTTCCAAGATATTTTGGTTTTGCAGCCCTTTGACAAGCACTTAAACATCTTCTCTGCAAGCAGTGACATTGGTCCTGTTAGGAAGAAAGCTGCTACATGTGCTTCAGAAAGAAATGCTCAAATGCATTGATCTGACATGCTTTCTGTGCTGGTAAATCACACAGATTTCATAATTCTTTAGGTAAAGATATGAATTAGATTGAACTTTCCTTAAAAAAAAAAAATCTGAACAGAATTGAAAAGACAGCATAATATCTGAAGTCTGTCTATTCATAATGTTTTATAAATTGTGTTTACAAAGCAGATCTGCCTTTAACTGTATTTAGCATGTTTTAAGAGTGAGCTGTGATAAAAGGAAGTATTTGATTTACAACGATTAGATAGCTCTGCCTGTGAATTTCTTGTGTTCCCTGGTGTAGATAGGTCTGCGTGTGAACCTCTTGTGTTCCCTAAAATCTGGTAAAACATGTGGATCAGACCTGCTCAGTTATTCTAGCCAGACTGCTGTCATAACTCTGTAGCTGTGGTGGCTCTGGGGAACTAGAGTCAGCACCCAAATCTCCTGGTACCCGTTACAGGTCTTAATCTCAGGTCACAGCTACTCTTTCCTTGCTTGAAACTGAAAATGCAAACCTAGAATTTACTGATTCCTGTAATCTTAAACCATGGCTTCTAATAGTTCTCAAGGCCATGGCAAGCCAAGTGTACTCAGGTCCCAGTGAAGAGGGACCCCATGTTTAGAGAGTGTGTTAAGGATACCTGAAAAGTTAAACAGATGTGCCAAACCCTGAAATGAAGTCTGTGTTGTTGGGTTTTTTTGAGTGACAGGCACATAAGTTTTACTGTTAGATTCACAAGTTTTTATTTACCAAAGTTGTATAACATCTGGATTATTTTAAAGTTATCTAAATCTGTTCTTTTGTATGTTGAGGGAATGGCATGATTAAAAATAACTTATATTAGGCACCAGAAGTAATTGAAAAGGGGGAGTCTTACCAGGCTGCAAATCACTTGACAACATTTTTCTAGTGCAAATGATTTTATTTAAGTAAAGTTTTTTACAATACTACTATAAAAAAGCATAAAACAATTTTCTCATCAATGTCTTACACGTTGCAGTTACAAATACAAACACCAACCGCTGAGCTCGTTTTGTAGGAACTTTATATTCAGTATATATGTAGCTTTTGAGTCTCTGTAAACATAGAAGCTGACCCTTTGCTTTATTACTGTGTGCAAACAGTCATAACTAGCTTCAGTAACACTGTAGGTATTTCCTGTGAGGATGTGGAAATAGAGAATACTACAAAATAGCTTCCCTGTTTTGCTTACCAAGCAAGAATACTACACGCCTGGATTCACACTGATAAGGGTTAGCTCCCAGCAATCCCCATGGGCTAAATGAGTGCAGGCGCTGACAAAGTGGAAGAACAAGTCTGCAGTGCAAAGCTGGTTAAGCAGCCTCGTAGGACGTGCTGCCTTGGAAGTGTCAGGCTCTGTGTCTACGGCTCTAGATTTACTGCTCCTTGACCTGTCGGACTCTGGCTCTTTATTGCCAACATGCAGAGCAGTATTGGCTCTTGGCTATGTATCAGGGAGCTTCTGCAAAGCTCGACAGCTCCCAGGCTTGTAGAAAGTGCTTTTACTTGTTCTCATTTCCACTGCACAAAACCCTTGTTTTCACATCACTGTTCCTGCAGCGATTGTGGGCTGAGAGCTAACTTGAAGTATTTGGTCTTAAAAGTGCTGTTCAGATATTGATTCCTTTACTGGTGTTCAGAGGCAGTGGTGACTGATACCCTGGTTTCTTCTTCTCAGAAGGAAATGGAGGTGTGGAGCCACTTCCCTCAATCTAGTTATACCAGATGTTGCAATATGCATGATAAAATTATAGAGCTGGAGAAGTGTATTTCTGAAGATATTCTTTGTGTAGTGTATGGAAGTAAATTTTACTGAGATTTTGGGGATTTTAACACTTAGGTTTTTTAATTGTTGCACCTGAGGTTTGTTGCTGCCTGGGTTAATACTATACAAAATCATAATTCCGATGATCTAAATATAGAACTAAATTCATTTTTCCCTGGATATTTTAACCATTGTTAGGTAAATATTGGATTGACTTCTAATTTTTGACATCAGAAAATAAAGAAAAGGATCAAGACAACTATTTAAGCTACTAAGGCATAAAGCAATTAGATAAAAAGAGTACAACCTATCTGTGTCGTAATAGTAGTAGTTGATGTGATGGATAATAAGGATAATATTGCTTGGCACAAAGCAAATAGCAAAGATGGTGAGGATCAACAGACTAACTTTAACGTACCAGAACCATTCACGAGTCTTGAGTGTTCGTATTATTGAGATATAGCAGAACACAATAGTTGCAAGAGGTATTAAAAACCCAAAGATAACTAAAGAAACATAGTAGTAGAACTGGAAGGAAGATATGGTTTCACAGGCATTGTGCACATCATGGCAGGTATAAATGCCCAGTTGTTTCACATAATAGCTTTGCCGCATTATGCAAAGTGGGAGCATGTACAGAAAGACGATGGTCCACACAGTAGCACAGACCACGATAGCGTAGGCACGTTTGGGCAGGCTTTTGTAGGTGAAGGGGTGAACGATGGCCACGTAGCGACTGACGCTGATGCACATGAGCAGCAGAATGGAGCAGTACATGTTGCCATAAAACACCGCAGTGGTAGTTCGACACATCATTTCCCCAAAAATCCAATTGTTCCCGTTGATGTGGTATGCTATTTTGAAGGGCAGCATGATGCAGAAGAGCAGATCTGAAACTGCCAAGTTTGTGTAGAGGATGGCAGTGCACACAGACCGAATCCTGAAGAGCAGCATCCACAGAATGATGGCATTAGATGGTACACCCAGTAAAACAGCACCAAGGTAGACAGTGGGTATTAGCTTGGTGCTCAGAGAGCTGGTGAGGTACTCCAGCGTGGTGTTGTTCACTTCTGTTAAAGTGGAGTCATTTGGCTTTTTTGAAGAGCATTTATGTTCTCTGATGTGGATGGTTGTTGTCTCCCCTTCTATAGCATAAGGGGGAAAGTAATCGTAGTCTCTTGCTGAAATTCCGCGGAAAGTCTTGATGAGAGACACTGTTTTAATTGCAGAGCCATTTGGTGAAAATTCTGAAGCTTGAAAAAAAGAGTTAATATTGTTAAAATGGGCAAACTACTGGATTAGCAACATAATTCACTTTTAAGTATGGAGAAGAGTAAACACATCTCCATATTTAAAAGATTTGGTGGCATTCTCCTTTTCTTTGCGTGTTCATATCAAATATCAGGGAGTTGTGCAGTGTTTTATCACCTGCAGAGTTTTTTCCCCAGTAGTAGCAATGTTGGTAATTCATTCTATAAACAGCAGCCTTAGCCTAGGCTTGATCAGAATTTCCAAATCAAACAGTGGCACTATTCTTGTCACTTTACAGATGAAACACCTGACTGCAAAAGATGCAAAAAGCACTGTCTTGTCTAACAGAGACTGAAACTTTCAAATTAGCAATTTGAAATAACCCTGAATTTTTATAGTCTCGCATTATGGAGTTAATGTTGTTCTTCAGCTTCTGACTAAAGCAAACCAGATCTTTTCAACTTACACATGAGGAAAGGAGTTAGTCTTGAGAATGAAAAACAAATGTCTGGGCTGATACTAGATCACATTGATTGGTAAGTGAATAGAAGTTCTAATGCAGCAGAAAGATTTTCAGTGAGTAAATACTGTTAGCATGTGGATAAAGCCAGTGATGCTACTTTTACTAATGCCATTTCCTCCATCTTTGGTAAAGAACTTTGTAGGAACATTGACATTTCAAGATGAAGCACAAAAGTGTTCAATACTTCCTAAAATCAAGGGTTGCAGAATAGATCTTGCAGAATAAAACTGAGGTGTCACTTAAAGAAATTTCTTAGCTATGTTTTATGCAAAAAGACTTGGCATAAAGCTTAGAACATGCATCTCGAAACTAGAATTCAGAAGCAAAGTGAAATGTCAATGAAAAACCTGCAGGTTTTTCTTTTACCCTTCCATATTGGAATGAAACATAGAAAACAGTTTTATCAATGCTCACTGGTAGATTTACAGTGGAATGTTTGGAAGTTATAATTAGTAGACTACATCCCTTTCAGTGATGGATGGTTAACCCAGAAAATGATTTTTAATCACTCTAAAAGACATGTATGTGCGTGCATGTGCATATATATAAAATAGTTTTTAGAAATGAGCTTAGCTTGAAAAGAGGTTTGATTTTAGTGAGGGAAAAAATAAGCTTGTTATTTGAGCATTTCCTTTGCTTATTTTTGCATTAATAGTTACCTAAGCATTTCCTTCTAATAGAACCATCGGTGAAGTAATAGCACCATCTGTGAAGTTTTAAAGCAGAAAGCACAAGACTACAGGTTTCAGATTATTTTATCACTAAATGAGTACTAGAGAGAAGATAGAGCTTCAGTAAGTGTAGAAAGATCCTTTAAATAAAATTCCTTATAAAAAGTGACTGGGTGGAGATACAGTGCCACTGAAATAAAATAATAAAAATCTGCCTTAAGCGTATTTTTCTGTAGTGATGCATGTGCTGCAACCCATTTATGATGGCAAAGTGCCAACATTATGAAAAAACAGATGTTACTGACTAAAATATGGAATAGATACAGAAAAGACTCACCTGTTGTGGGAAGACTGAAAGAGAAAGAAAGAAGTCCAGTAAAAACCAGTATCTTCATTGTAGTATGTGAAATCCAGCTGGCCGAACAACAATGCTGCTCTAATTCATCTGGAGGCATTTTATGGGGAATTTTTCTTTTCCTTTCTCTAAGGGACTAAGGAAAGATTGATCTGTCTTTCAGAAACATCCTGTAGACATGAGGTTTATGGTAAGGAGCTAGTTTGTTCTTTGTCTACTACAGCAAGAGGGTGTGACGTATCCAAATATGCACACATGACTCAGTTTCAGCCTCTGCCCAACACAGAGATAAAATTGCGTTACAGCAGAAATTTAACTCCTAATTTACCCTGAGCCTGAAGCTGATGTGGAGAGTTCTTCTGGAATTTGTACATACAGATATTTAGGGTAAAAAGGTACTTACTGGGGTAACCCCCCTCAGGGGTCTCAGACTGAAATGCTGTGTTGCTGAACTCTGTACCTTTCTCGAGGTAGAAGCCAGCTTGAAGAAGAGTGGTGATCTTGGTTAAGCAAATGCAAAGGTGAAAGCAAGCCACACATACAAACATGCTGTGAGAAAACTGTTCTGCTTTGCCTTTTACCTGGTGCCCACTGTTAGCTGCCTGTGCTCCTTAGATCCAGCTCTGCTCAGACAGTTCCCACCCCTCCACAGCCTGCTGCCTCCAAAACCTTTCCCCTATTTTCATCTGCTGTTTTGTTCATCCGTTGATCCCTTCCTTCTTCCCTGCCTGAAATTTTTTTTTTCTTGAATGCCAAATGACAACTGCTTACTTCATTAGAAAAAAATCAATCCAAGTCATGGTCTGGCTTCCAAGCTAGCAGCAAGGCTCAGCAAAAGCTGTACTTGGGTCCAGAGCAGGGTTTTTTTTGTCTGTTCTTGTATTTAGTGTGTAAAAGCTTGACACCAGATAAGGAATTCTTTTCAGTTTCCCAATCTTACCTCAAAATTGTCAGCTGTAGTTTGGGAGTTTATTGTATACTCTGTTAAGTGTTAGCTAGCTAACTCTCATTAGAAAAGCTTGCGGTGTGTTCAGTGTCACGCAATTGCCTGACACTACTTGGTTTTATTTAGGTATTTTGCTACCTTGTTTACTTATATGATGCAAACTGAAGAATCTGTCTTTAGGGGTTTTTACCCAGATTTCTCTTTGTAATTATTGCAGATCGCACATCTATTGTGTTTTTGGCTTCGTGTGCAAGACCCAGGATGTTCATTGCAAAGCTAGTTCTTTATCCACACTGTTTTAACTTGAGAGTTTGTGTGGCATTTTTTTCCCCTCAAGTATTTGTGTATATATACTCATAGATCTTTATCAAATCGGTACATTCCAGTTTCTCTCATCATTAGTCTTTTCTAGATCTGGCACTCCTATTTCCTGTTCAGAATGAATTTTGTTCTTTCACCTACTGGATTGGATTTTAAATGTCACTTCAGCTCTTAAACCCTGTTTTCTCAGCTGAAGTGTTGGTTCACCTGGGCAATTGGAGTGGGGTTGATAGTGAGGATGCTGAGCCCACGTTCCTGCATCTTCTGTTTTAACCCTGATTTAATGCCAGGCTCTGTTAGCCTCTGGGAAGAGTGAGATCTGATCTGGTCCTTAATTCCTGAAGCATTTGCCATCTGAGCTAAGTCATCATTATTAAAACTGAGCTGTCTTTCTATGTCAGTTTTCACTGTCATTTTCTAATGTAATGTGTACTCAGGTGTACACATGGATCCTTTACACGTAAGGGATTCTGAAAGAAAGCCAAATTCCCTCAATTTTCTGCTTTGTGCACTTTATGCAGCCTCATGATTTGTGGTTTTATTTGACACAGATTACTTTGTCTAGACATCATGAAATGGAAGCGTTTCTAGCTTCGCTCAAAATTTTTATTGATCTTTATCTCGACAGTGTCTTCTATACATGAAAACTTTGAGAGCTTTATATTTAAACAGGAGTTTATTCAAGTCAGTAAATGGAATATAAATTGCTGATTTTAAACGGTCAAATTCTTTTTAATATCCAAGGCTTCTCAAAAGAAAATTATATATAGAAGCTCTGTCAGTATGTTCAGACACCTATTGTTATAATATTTTTTTCTGTCTTGTCTCTATCCTTTTTCCAGGAATCCCAAGATGAATCAGCGCTTCTGTGGCTGGATGAAATACAAAAAGGAATCAGTGATGCCAATAACAATATAAAAGAAGCTGCAATTTGTAAGTATTAACCTGCATCTGCATTGCTCTTGGTTTTCTTAGTCTTGTTGAAAAACTGAAACTGGCAATTTATTTATTCCTCTTCAAGCAAGTGTGACAGCCCTTCAGATGCATCAAAGGAAGTGAATGCTTGTTCTTTGTCATGCTGAAATTAGGTTGACTTAGATCTCCAGGTGTGATGTTGGTTTTATCTAAAGTGACAAACCTTAGGGCTTGGCTAATATATTCAAGTGAATTTGGCTATATAACATCAGGACCAAGATTTCTAGTACCAGTTTATCTTCACATAGCTGGTGAAACTGAAGGATATGTGAATGAGAAGGAATATATTGTTCCAGGAGCTTATTTTTCTTATGGAAGACTAATATAATGAACTATGTTGTAAGAACAAATGCTTATATGTTTACAACTTTGATAATTTCTATTTCTTTATAATCTGTTTTATTAAGTGCTAACAAACAAAAATTAGGAATACACTAACTTTAAAAGTGGTGTAAAAAGAGCACTCAGGCGTTCGAGAAGTGCATATTCTTCCAATCTGCTCAAGAGAAGAAAATCTGTGGGGAAAATGCTGAGGCTTATCCTGTTAGAGCGCATTGTGTACTGGATGCGCTCAACACCTTCTGGCAAGGTTCAGTTGAAAAATAATAATTTTAGGAAAAAAAATCCATAATGTCTAATAAAGGTTGGCAAGTAACATAGAAGCAAGTGTAGCTGGGTGTATGAGGCACACTGGAGAATGCGGTGGTACCCCTACCTGTCCCTGCCTGGGGCCAGCACAGACCAGCTGAGGCTGTTAGCTTGACACTGGGTATTGATTCACCTTCTGCTTGACTTAGCTTTGCGTGAGTCAGTGTCACCTTCATTTGCACCCTAAGAGCTTGTGAATACAACTGCTGAAGTCGGTTTTTTTTTCAGCCTTCGTTAGTGCAGTTCAGCAGCCTGTTTGCTTACAGGCAGGCTATGTCTGTAGTTAGGGCTTGGGGAATTGTGCATGGAAGAAAACAAACACAGCTAGCTAGTACAAAATATCCTATCCAAGCTACAAAAACATTGCATTTAATGTGATTGTTACTTTAAAATTGATTTGATCAATTAACACAGTCTTAGCATTGCCAGTCGGATACACTGAAAACGCTTGGAAATATTTCTGTAGGTCACACATCTGCAGTGAAAAGCATCTGGTGTGTGTTTTTTTGAGAGGGAGGCAGACACAACAGAAATGTATTGTCGTAAACCTTCTTTTGTGGACAAAAAAACATTTCCCATCAATGTTACTCAGAGACGAGAGGAAACATCTGAGTGCAGAGAAGGGAAGGAAATGCCTATCTTAAAACAGATGTAAGTTAAAGCTAAAGAGCAACTTGAAAACATCCTTATGTATTACACCAGTGTCCACTGGTGTAAAAGCATTAAGAATATCTCATAAATGGCTTGCAGAAATTAGCACAGCATTATCCATACACCAGTACCATACAATGTTGTTGCCAAAGATAAGCCACTGCTGGTCCACTAGCTAGTTGTTGTAGTTAAATCTTTTCATATAATCTGTGTTTGTAGTAAATGCACAGCTTTTCACAATCAAGTATGATCAGCAGAACTGTTTTAACAAGTCACTCGTGGAAATAACTACTAATCTCCTGTACTCTGCCCTCTGGGTTGAAAGGAAACAGTGTCAGCACAGCACATTCTTTAGAAGAGCTCTTAAGGTTTTGCCGCTAAAAACTGAGATTTAAAATTTCCCCGTGGAACAGAACCTGATACTTCCTATAACAAACACTTCCTGTCTCAGGAAGTTAGCATGTTGTGTTCGCATAGTCTAAACTTAAAAGTTCAGCTTGATCACAACTTGGAAATGAACTTTTATTTTCATCTTTCTCAGAGATGCTATTTTTAAAATGCAAACCACTCCCCATGTCCCACTCCAAAACTTTTGCAAAACAGTCCAGGATTTATTTTTTCATTCAGAACAAAGCGTATGTTTGATGTTGCTGCAGTAATGGCAACAAAACATGCAGTACAATAAGAGAAGGTAGTGACAGCTCTACTGAAACAGTCTTGGCCCCATCCAAACTAATTTTTGTCCTCATGTAAAAATTAAATACTACAGTATTGTAATTTTAAAAGGCTTTTACAAACTGTCTTCCCTGTCAGTAACGGCCTCTCTCTTTATCTTCACTTAGAAAGATGTGTTTGGCTAATGCTGGTGCATTTCCTAATTCTTCATGCTGTTTGCTGCACAGTTTGCATCACCTTGCTTCGCTTCTTGAATCAGTTCAACCATTGTACTCCTTATCTATGTGGAGGACAAAATGAGATTGGCCAAATATCAGTTTTCAGGAGTAGACACCAACACTGACCTCAGTCTTGCACAGGAAAAGTCTGTCTGTCAAAGCAGGATCTGTCATGACAGAGTCCATGTTATAGCAAAAAGCTAGTCTTTGGCCCTGTTGAAAGTTCAGGCTTCTCACCCTAGACAGCTGCATCTTTGTGTATCATAGCTGTTTGAAAGGAAGATGAGTGTGGAAAAGAACCCGTCACAGTGTTGATCTGGCACTGGCATCCCAACTGCTGCAGGAGCAGACTGCAGCCCACAGTTCTCCTGCAGCTGGGAATGGCAAAGCTCCATTTGCTTATAAATTTTACAGGGTTCACACGGCCTTGCTTTAGGGCAACAATTGTATTAACTGTGAGCACTTCAGTGGAAAGGAATAATTTCTTTTGAATTGTTTTTTTCCTAAACATTTGCTAAACATTTTTTTACATTTTCCTTCATAAACAAAGGCAGCAGGAGACCTACAGAAACAACTCTTAGCTAGGTTGTGTCCTTTTTTTTGTCTTTGTGACAATAGCTTTGAGCACCTATGGGTATGGAGGAAAGATGAAGAGGAGGAACAAAAGTATTCAGATACTGGTAACCAGAGTTGATGAGACACATGGGACCGTGTATGAGCAGGGCTGAGCCTGCAGAGCCACCTGGGCCAGCAGCAGCAAGCTGGTAACATGTGGCTTCGCAGTTTTTGCTGCTTCCTTGCTGCTGAGGCGAGATGTCTGGGCATCATATCAGAGCAGGCTGTACAAAGTCACCTCCACCCTGTGTGGAGCATGTGTGTGCCTGGCAGGTGTCTATTTCATAGCACAGAAAAGCGGTAGGATGCTATCTGGTAGAAATCCAGATGGTGGTGGTGTTGTATGTTCGTTTTGTTTCTCAGCCAGCGGCCAGTGTACTAGGAGATCAACCTGTTAACTGTCTAGCCAGAGCTACCTGTTCCACCTTAGTCAAAGGAACAACAAAGAAGAACTGTTTCACTTGATGAACTGCTCTCCTACTAGCTCAGCCTCAAGCAGTGCCTCCTGTGTGGAGGCTCCTGATAGTGAATACTCCACTGAGTGTGGGTATTGTTCTGGATGTGCACAAGATAAGGAAAAGCACCCAGTGTTGCAGCGTAAAACCCAGTAGTGGGATGCAAAAGTAGCCATAGTCACTTAAGCCAGTATATAATGTATATATTCTAGCCATATATCCATTCACTTGTTCCTCTGTGCGTGGATCTTGAATTTAGATGTGAAGGAACGCCATAAAGACCAGAGCAGCAGTTTCTAAAGCAGCATATACCTCTAGTGTGTAAGGCACCTTGAAATGGTGTGTGCTGCTACATGCTCTAAGGTGTGATGGTATCAGCTCCTTCAGTGGTGGTGGGACCTGCACAAAGCAAAGCATGCTTAGGAACACCCAAATCAGAGTATGGGTAACATGGCATAATGTCTTTTGAACATGCTCCTGAGAGGCATCACCTCTCAGGACACTTTTATGTGCTCTGGAAACAAAAGCTGCGTCTCTGGCAAACTCAGGGGCATGGATTTGCTGCATCAGCTTTGAACAAGTTCCCCAGGGGTGTGGACAAGAAAGAGTCACTTCAGGATTCCAACTAGGATGCTGCTGGTGTTGCTCAAGGCAATACGATTTTGTTCCCATTTTGTATAGTAAAAGTGGATGTTAAGGTTTACAGCTTGTCACTTAACGACTTCATGAATCTCTAGAAGGTTACTAAGTGATCAGCAGATGATGGCCGGGGTACCTGCCATCCTCAACCTCTGCCCTGGTGTCATCTGGTTTGTCACCTGATGGTGGAGAAGCGATGCCCTCAGACTGCTCTCAGTTGTGCTGTGGCTGCATCCCAGCTGGGGCGGAGTGCACACTTTCTATCTAACAAGCTTGCTGTTCTCTGAAGTACTTGTCCTTACAAGCATGAAGGAGACTGCAAATGGGTGAAGCACTGAATTGCTGTGTATGTCATGCTGTCAGTGTGTGCCAGCGTTAGAAGTCCATTATCAAAGTTGCTGAAGGCTAGAGCTGTGGGTACATAAAGTATAAACCACTTAATTTCCTATGTCATTATTTTACTCTAGTGGCTGTTGGAACATCACTGATTAACAAGAGCTTGGAGAATGGTGATTCACAGCCAATCCTGATGATACTGCAATCCAAGTTTGGATTACGAGTCATTCCTGAGTGTGCTGAATCCTACTTCAGGAACCTCTCTGAAGCCAAGAACGTGAAAACTGGAGAAGGTAAAACCTTCCTGATCAGGACAGTTCTATGCGTCGACATCACCGAGACAACTGAAAAACTAGCACAGAAAGCTTACCTAAAATCACTGTAAACTGAGAAAGTTGCTGGTTTTAAATCTTTAGAGAAGTGTTAATTCTTGCTGCAGCGCTTTTTACATGATGCTGAACTGTTGCACACGTCATCCAGACCACAGTACATGCTGAGAAACAAGTCTAGCTATTTCTAGAGTCTAGCTAAGACTTTCCAGAGTCTCAAACTAGCTTCTGAGAGAATTCAATGCAGCTTCTCTGTAACTGTCAATAGACTAGTCCATCCTCTCAGAAAACCATATTATTCTGATTTTTTGGGTTTTTTTCCCCAGATGCAGAAAAGGGTTAGGCTGGACACTTCAGCCTTACAGGTTGTTGTCAAAGATCAAGCCACACTCTGCCAGGGTGTTCATGGCCTATTTATGGTCCCTGTGCATTGCCAGAGCAGCAGGTATCAGTAAAAGCTGGGGCTAGAATCTGCCCATAGTAAGAGGATGGGATGTTTTGTCATGTTAGAGCTGCAAGCTGGTCATAGCTAATGCAGCTAACATTAGCTAACGGATTTTTTTTTTTTTTAAGTTTTTGTCAATGCAGTACATTTTCTTGCAGTAGACAGGCATGTTTCATCCTGCAACATAAGTTTTGAGAGGGGCATTTTGCACAATTGACCATACCAGCTTTAACTTGGGGCCTTTTGTCCATGAGGAAATGAGGCTTTTCCTGCCTGTCAGGGTACAGCCTTGTTTACCAAAGCACTAAAGATAATGATGTAGATATAGGAAATATCCCATATGTGCTGAGTGTCAGTAAGACTAGCATTTGGCCAGAAGACAAGAACAATAGGTTTTTTTCTAAACACAATCTCAGTTCCATGGTGGTGGAAGACATAGCTTTGAAGATGCTGGCAGTGAATCTTTGCTAATCTCATAGCTGTTTCACTCTAGAAGAATGATCCGGATCCTCCTAACAGGGTATTTTGAAAACATACATGCTACAAACTGGCCCAAAATATTTAGTAACTTTGCATGTATCATAGAATAAAATCATGTAATGGTTTGGTTTGGAAGGAACCTTAAAGATCATCTAGTTCCAACCCTGCTGGCACAGGCAGGGACACCTTCCACTAGACTAGGTTGCCCAAAGCCCCACCCGGCCTGGCCTTTTTTCCCTTATCTGGGAAAGGCATACCAAGAAACAGTAAGTGCATTGCTTTTTTTTTTTTTTTGCTTTATTTTTTTGTATGTATTGCTTTTAGATTCTAACGAAAGTCCGTGGATTAAACTTGTCATGAAAACCATGTATGATTACTATTATAATGTGGAAACTGAGGAAGGTACCTGTGTTGCCCCTGAGGGAGTTGTACCAAAATACTCGTGGTTAACTGTTGAGGAAATACAGGTAGGTGACTGAAACATTTGCTTTTATTGCAAACATAGCATAACCATTTGAGAGAGACAGAGAGAGCAAAACATAGCAATGTCAAGGGAAGAAGCTGTGCTGGGTGAGACTGAAGAACCCTTTAGGTCAATATCTGCTTCTGACAATAGCAGCAACTTAAGTCTAAGCAGTGATCACTAAGCAGTGATAGCACAATGGCCATCAGCATACAGTGAGGGAGGAAGATCTGATTGCTTTCATAGGCTTTTATATTTTTGGGCTTCCAACTGACCTATAACAAGGAATTGCGTTATGTATTTTGGGGGCAGGTGGAAGCATCGTTTTATGTTTAATCATCTGATGGCATTCTTGTATCTCCAAGTTCAGTAGGATGAGTGTGATACTTAAACTGCCTTACCATAGAGGTTTTGCCTTGGCATGAAATATAACTTAGAACAAAGTAGATCACACAAGCTTCTGCAAGATATGTTTTGTTATTTTCTTTATTCTGATGCAGCTCATCTAGGTTATGGGTTTGCTCTGCTGCACAAACAGTTGAAATCACAGTGTAGGTCCTTCTGAAGTTCTGACTTCAGCAATACTTGAGTGTGCTTCTCTACAAAGAGCTTCCTAATTCATTTAGTATTTCTTGTTGTCCAACTTCTACAAAATACTTTTAAGTATTAGGAAAGCGGAACTCTTCAAAGGAGTAAAAAAAAGGTGTCTCAAAATAGTACATCCAGATATAAAACTGAGGCTTGAAAGGAGTTCAGTTATCCTTCATATAAAATTCAGCAGTGGAAAAGTAGGTCTTCCTTCATACTAAATAGAATCTAGGGGTAAGTCAGAGGGACTTGGATAGGATGAACATGAGCTGTACACATGATGGAGTGAATACAGATCAAATTCAATTATGGTTTTGGCTTGAGGTTTTTTGCTTTTAAATTACTTTTTTCCATGATCTCCTAACAGAGCATTGTTGGGCAAGTTACAGCAGATTATAATCGAGAGCAGCTGTGGCTTGCTAATGAAAATCTAATTGTTCAGCTGCAAGCCCGAGCAAGGGGATTCTTAGTCAGAAAAAATTACCAGCAGAGGAAAGCATACCTTCAAAACCAGGAACCATCTGCCATCAAAATACAGGTATTGTTCTAGAATAAAAAGGTAAGATGGCTCGGGCAACTTTCTGCATGTGACACGTGATGTGGCTGATTACTACCACTGATAAAATTCTCAGATAAGTCTGTCTCCCTGTTTTCATTAGCAGCAGTTCAAACTTCTATATCTGCAAATATGTTATTGTCCTCATTAGAATAATTGAGCTTTTAAATAGCAAATATCCAGTTTTAAAAGATTGGGTCATATCTACCTGCAGTCTAAGTTACTTCAGTGGGAGAAGCTCAGAAACACATAGCCTATAATCTTCTTTCTGAGGTGTTCAGGTTTTGCTCAGCACACCTAACTATGCATGGAAAAAGATCAGAGAATATTTGTTAACTATCGAAGCAAAAATTCTTTGGCAAAGCAGAACTTAAGCTATACATTGCTTTCTAGACTATCCCCAGTTGGAATTGGTTTACTTCTGCTCCATGAAGTCATAGCTGCATGGGGAGTGCCAGCCACTCTGGCATTCTCAGGCTCTGGCAGTATTTCTTGGATGTCTTCAGTTTGCTGAACTCTGAAAGGAATATAAAGGAAACTTTCTGCTGAGGGTGTGAACACTGGCAAATGCATGCACACTAGTTTTGAATGGTGAAATAGCCGTTTCCTGTTAGAAGTAATTTATTCTAGTCTTGAAATTTATTCTAGTCAACCAATCTTTCTTCTCCTCGAAATTACAAAAAAATGTACAACTGATTTTTTTAACCTATAATAACTTAATTTAAAAACTCATTATGATAAATATCTTTAAAACTAGCAGGTATCATTGGTATTGGCTTTTAATTTTATGGCGTGGTGTCTGAGGCACAGTAAAGGACTGTACTGTTCTTTGAGGAATTCAGGATGTGTGAAAAAGTTCAAAAATATGGAGAAACATAGGTAGACAAAGTTGTTCTCTGATTGCTTTCTTTGAGCATTAAAATAGAAATGGTTTGTGAAAAGACAACAAGTAGAAGATAAGGCCGGTGTCACTGGCCTGATGGAGATGAAATGTAAAATACGGTAAATGTGGTGAGACTATCTGTGTTATCCCTGTCATTGGATTCCTTACCAAGAGTTTGCATCTGGACTAGCAAAGGGAGAACCAAGTGAGGGAACTGGGAGGTTGTTATCTGTGATACAATACGATCCTGAGTGACTCTAGAAGACCATAGACTTGGGAAGGATACCAGGCCAAGAGCAACAGGGGTCCAGCTAGATAGGGAACAGCTTTTGGATACAATGGGCAAGAGCTGGCAAAGTCTTCCCTGTGTGGGATGGGAAGCTACAGAATGTGAGTGTAGTGGTGATGGCTTCAGAGGAGGGAAGAATATGTCACTGGACAACAGCGGTGAGATAGGCTAAAAGTAACATGAAACGTATTGGGGCACCTTAAAGAGCTGCAGAGATGCAAACTTATTTACACCATAGGTGTCTTTTTACCATGATGGCAGGTTTTTTCTCTACAAGATACACTGTTAATGATTTTAGTGTATATATGTATATTTTAATAAGTATGAGTTTCTAATAATGGTCTCCTGCCTTGTATAAACTAGGCTTTCTGGAAAGGATTCAAACAAAGGAAAAGTTATGTTGACAGATTAAAGGTGCTTCAAGGCAATGCTGCTGCTATTGTTAAGGTAAGATCCCACTGTGTTTTTGGGCCTGAGCATGCTTTATGCCTTGGCTTGGTCCTTCACCACCTGTGAAATAGAGACTAGGAACACAAACTGGAGGGACTTGTGCACCAGAAATTTTCATTGAATTGAAAGGTTTTAACTGACAGCTTAAGTAAATTGCTTCTTGAAAGCCCTGTGTTTGCCTTCTACCAGGCTTTGCTGAACTTGAATGGCTCGTAATAGATATTTCCTTGTGCTTCTCTTTCCATAATAGTAAATTAGAAAATATTAGAGATGACAACATGTTATTTCATTAAAAGCTGTCAAATCTATCTGTCTGAAAAGTGTTTACTTTTCTGTGATGGTGATGGGACAATATGTCATGAGTTAATCACAGATGGGATATTGATGATCTGTGTCTAAAAAGACTGGTGTAAAATTGAGAGCTGAGATTTGAAAGTAGCATAGACTTCCAAAGATAATGCTACACATGTGTGGTAGAACCTTGAACTCAACTTGCTATTTAAGTTGAAGCCCAGTTGTAGAGCCATCTATGGCCCCAAGCATGTGAGAACAGCATGCCTGCAGAAGAGGGCAGAAGCAAATCTAAAACATACACACACAAAAGAGTTTGCAGTGTCTCTTGAGTTTTCATTTACTTTTATTTAATTTTCAGATTCAGTCATTGGTCAAAATGTGGCTAGCAAAGCGAGCTTACAGAAAACGGCTGCAATACTTCAAGGATCATGTAAGTACTATTTCTCCATTTTGAGTATAAAGCATTAAAATAGGGTAGTATGATGGCACAGACAATTTTGGGAATCTCAGGAAAAATTGTGCAAGTTCTTCAGTGTGTTTTTGAGCAGAAATGTGGTATAACTAGGTTCTTTTGTCTAATCTTGGTCCCTTCCAGAATGATGAAATTGTGAAGATACAAGCATTTCTCAGAGCAAACAAAGCCAGGGAGGACTACAGAACACTAAGTAAGTGGCAACAGTTGAATGTTCTGTATTTGGGGGGAAGTATGCTATTGTGTTCAGTCTTTTTTTTTTTTTTCCCTTTTCTCTTAAAAAAACCAACCAAACAAACAAGAAAAACCAACTTTGACCCAGGATTTCTCAGTCTCCTATTCCCCTCAAAAAGCAGATGCAAGTGTTTGCAAACCAATTGTTTACAAGCTGTCATACCACACAGTATGACAAAAATATTGCTCTGGCATAAACTTGCCTCAGCAGTTCCAAATTTTTCTGCACAATTATCACTTTCCTGAGGGTTTATGGGTGTTCAATATTATGTCGACTAATAAATCTATTTACCTCGACTATAGTTGGTGCTGAAAATCCACCCTTGACTGTCCTGCGCAAATTTGCCTACCTTTTGGACCAAAGTGACTTAGACTTTCAAGAAGAACTAGAAGTAACAAGGTTAAGGGAAGAAGTGGTTACAAAAATTCGATCCAGTCAGCAGTTGGAGAAGGACTTGAACTTAATGGATATAAAGATTGGACTGCTGGTGAAAAACAGAATCACTCTTCAGGTCAGTAGACTCTGTTCAGGCTCCCTTGGTAGCATGTACTGTGCACTTCTGTGTGTCAGTGGAGCTCAGGATAACACGATCACAGCACGGTTGAGTCTGGAAGGGACCTCTGGAAGTCGTCTGGTCTAACCAGCCCCCCCAAAGCAGGGCCATCCAGAGCAAATTGCCCAGAACCATGTCCAGACAGCTTTTGAATATCTCCAATGATGGCTATTCCACGGCCTCTCTGAGCAGCCTGTGGCAGCCCTTGGTCACTCTCAATTAGCTAAAATACTCTTAGTAAATGAAGTGCTTTCTTTATGTGTCCTAAGTAATCTGGCCAAAATACCTTATGGTAGAGGTTGCTCTGTAGTCTTGAGTTGCTACGTTAGTTTGCTACTGAATGTCACTGTTTTGCTACTTGTGGACAACAGTAATTGCTTGGCAGATTTTAAACATCTTTTCTATGGTAGAACAGAGTAGACTTCTGATCGTATGCAAGAGCTTGTTCATTGTTAAGTAAATGATTAACGAGTCTGCACATAAGATCAGGTTTCCCAGACAGTCATTGTTGGCAAGCTATACTGGTGACAAGATAAAGAGGTTCAGAAGACTGGTTACTGACTAGAGCAGCAAGAAATATGAAGCTGATCTGGAAGAATATCACGTTTAACATGGCTGGGAAAAAGTTAATTTTTACAGTTTGCCTTTTCTGAATATATAATCCAGACTTTTGATCATCTATCTGCAGGATGTGGTACTGCACAGTAAGAAACTGAACAAAAAGAGCAAAAGCCAGCTGGAAGAGATGGTTATGGTTGACAAACAGGGTATCAAAGGTTTGAGTAAAGAGAGAAGAAAGAAACTGGAGGCTTATCAACATTTATTCTATCTTTTACAGGTAAATCTGAATGTAAAATTTAACATGAAAGCAAATTGCTAAAGAAAAACTAGAAATATATTGCCTGTTTTGTTTTAGTGATTGTAGTAGTGAAGGTGAAAATATCTCCATATGCGGAGTGCACTAAATACTGTGATCAATTTCTAATATTTCCTGTAATTGAGAAGGACCTTGCTGTCTTTAAACTGTGCAAGAAACACAGCTGTTTTTCTCTTGAGAAAAACTTCAGTACATACCGAAGCCAAAGAGAAAGATTTTCCTTGGTTATAACTTTCAGTCCCTGTAAATTATGGTTCACTATTATTGTGCATTATATGTGGTGGAAAGGAAGTTGCCTGCTTATAATGCATCTCTTCTTGTGCTTCAGTGACATATATGGGAATTAACACAAATGGTTTAGATGTTGATAGAAGTGTAGAGAGAGCTTGCCCCCAAGAGGGTGTAGTTTGTCCTGGACAATAGCATTTAAGTCATTTGTTTATTTTGCAGACTAATCCCACGTATCTGGCAAAGCTGATCTTCCAGATGCCACAAAACAAATCAACTAAGTTTATGGATACGGTCATCTTTACTCTATATAACTATGCCTCAAATCAACGAGAAGAATATCTGCTTCTCAAACTCTTCAAAACTGCTCTAGAAGAGGAGATAAAGTATGTGCATTCACAAGAAGGCTTTCTGCATTGCAGACAGTTCAATGAATAATTTGTATCTAAAAGAATTTGATGATTAATCTTTGAACTCCTGTAAAATTGCATACATGTTTTTGTTAATGACAGATTTGTAATTTATTCATTTACTTCAGCTATTTCTAATTCAGAAATTTCAGAAATTTCTAATTCAGACAATCTTTCTGTATGGAAAAGATGCTTGCAAAAGTAGACACTAGGATTTCCTGCTTTTGTCTTTGAGTATTTAATGGTGAAGAAAGTATTTTCCTTTTCTGTGTAATGTGTTCTGCAAGTGGAGAGTGGTGGCTTGTCTTGAAATGATAAAGTCTTTTATACCCTTTACAGATACTTGCTGAACACATATTTGGACCTGAATAGGGTATATATCAGCTGCCACTGACTACACTATGTTCCAGGGACATTATTATAATGCATGTAGAATTCAGGCAGTAGTTTCTATAATAATATTTTTTCATATGAAAGCCTGAGAAACAGATTGTGTAAAGGTGTCTCAGGACAGAAATAGGATAATTTAAAACATGTGGGTTTTGAAACAATAAATAATTGCATACATAGCTGAGACCTGAGAATTCTTTTGTTTTTGATACAGCTCTAAGGTAGACCAGATACAGGATATTGTCACTGGAAACCCCACTGTCATTAAGATGGTTGTTAGCTTCAATCGAGGTGCTCGTGGACAGAATACTCTGCGTCAGCTCCTGGCCCCAGTGGTGAAAGAGATTATGGAGGACAAGTCCCTTGTAATCAACACTAGTCCTGTGGATGTGTACAAGGCATGGGTAAACCAGCTAGAAATGCAGACCGGTGAGGCCAGGTGAGGAAGCTGGGCATATTTTAGCATCTAAATGCTTGAGGGATCCCTCGTTTCTTCTGGCAAATTGTGCTTGTGCCCATGCGTCCCTTTCCCATCTTCCTGAAGCATGAGAGCCTTTGGGAAGAGGTGCTTGGAAAACCTGTTCTGAGCAACAAAGGGATCACTTTCCTGGTCATGAACTTTAGGACTCAATTACTTAATCTTTACAAGCGTAGTAGACTCTGCTATGGAAGAATGTATAGCTTTTTCCCAGGTTTGTAACAGTATGTTAGCAGTATCCCAGTCCTTTGAGGAGCCATGCTGGGACTGGGATGTGGAGATCCATGCCTTACAAAAGGAAGGGATCCTAATTTAATTAAGGGGAAGGTAGATGATGGCATGTGCAACCTCACCTAAACAAGCTGTTACCCTTAAAAAAAAAAAAAGGAAGCTAATGCTTCTGAGACTTTTGTTACTTAGCTTCAATTGTATTAATCTTGACTTTTTTTTGTTCACTTATAGCCCTCATAAAGCAAAAAAAAAAATTTATTTTGCTCTCAGATATGTTTAGCTTGATTTACTATCCATTTCCTTTGCAGCAAACTGCCATATGATGTAACCACAGAACAAGCATTAACACACACAGAAGTGGTTAATAAACTGGAATCATCGATTCAGAGTTTGCGAGCAGTAACCGACAAAGTTCTCATGTCTATATTCTCTTCTCTCAATATGATGCCGTAAGTACTGAGATAGAACTCTCCAAGTTGCAATTCATGTGCACAGTGAGGCTTCACCTGCAACTCAGTGGTGTACATAACTTTCAAATTTCAGGGCTTGTTATACGTGCCTCTCAAATGACTTCCCCAGTAGAGGGAGCGGTTTCTCCACTTCTACTCTGCTGCAGCAGCCTTTTGAACACATCTCCCTGTACTTGAAACACTTTTATTTTCCACTATTGTCACCTTTAGTGTTTTAAGTAGCTGGTCAAAAAGTCAGTAACTTGACTGACTAAATGATCGTATTGTGTTTCGTCTTTGTGTTTCATCGGAGTCTTCCCCATATTTGTTTCCTTTTCATCTGCTCTGTGTGTAGTTATGGAATGAGATACATAGCCAAAGTTCTGAAGAGCTCACTCCATGAGAAATTCCCAGATGCAACTGAAGATGAACTATTAAAGGTAGGCTTCTGAGGGCCAGCTGCCAGCAGCTTGTTGTTTTAATGCCAAGAAGGGATTTTTATTGACACCAGGCATTCTAAGGAACTGAGAACAGCAGCATTTACTGGATGAATTTGACACTACTTAGGCTGCAGAGGGGTGGTGGAAAGGAAGAAGGGAACTGTGTTGCCACAACCTAGCTATCTTAATCTGGGTGCTCAGCAACTCTTATGGCAGGCACTGCTCAACCTGCATTGAATAGTAACTGTTCTTACAAGGTTGGAGTTTACCTGAATCATCTTGGGGTTAGGTTTTGTACTGTGGTCCCTACCAGCAGCAATCCTTTCATGGAGAACACTGTGGCATTTTTTTTTTTTATCTTTACCTGAAGTTGTTAACATATTAAAAAAGGAAATGTATTTTTAAAAATTGCATTAATATTATTATTTAAATACAATGAGGAAGGGCTCTAAAAACATACTGCAAGTAGATTACATATATCTTAGTGATTCTTCTAGCACTGGTTCCTGTGGCCTAATTCAGAAGTAGAAATTACGGATCATGTTTTGTAAAATGTAATTACTGTATGCAAATAGAAGATACTTTTAATTTCTCTTTTAGATTGTTGGCAACCTCCTGTACTACCGCTACATGAACCCTGCCATTGTTGCTCCTGATGGTTTTGATATAATTGATATGACAGCAGGGGGCCAGATACACCCTGACCAGAGGAGGAATCTAGGTTGTGTGGCAAAAGTCCTTCAGCATGCTGCTTCTAACAAACTGTTTGAAGGAGAGAGCGAACATCTGTCATCTATGAACACTTACCTCTCACAAACATACCAGAAGTTCAGGTATGCAAAGCCCTCTAATACATACGCAATAAGCGCTCACCTCTAGGATAAGTAAGGCAGATGGGCTCATCACTTACAGGAATTCCATGCTCAGAGTTAAAAATATTGAGCGATGTGCCATGAAGAAATTCTCCCTGCTGAGGAGATTGAAGCAGGTGTAACAATTTGAGCTTCTGCTTCAACATTGCTTTGAGAACTGATCATTTTTGGCTGGCTTCGTTGCACTAAGGCTTCCTTACTGCAAACACAGACTGTGAGAGCAGTACGAGGTGATTCATTACCCAGTGGAAATAATGTGTTCTTTGGGTTGGGAGGACAGCCGAATGTTGTGAGAGAAAAACTTACTGGTCAGGAAAAAAATGTGAGTTTTGAGTCTTTCATCTTTGCCAAGAGATTCCACACAGATTTTATTCTTTCATCTTGAACACTTGTTGGAAAATACATATTTTGCTACAGTCTGGGACACAATTTTTTTGGATTATTGCCCATCTTTGGGAGCAATTGCTATTACTAGCTTGAAGTGCTGCTGAGTCTTGCAACAAACTCACTTTCAGAACTTCTATCTATAGTATCTGCCCTTCATGAAAGCAAATGCACTATTCATATATAGAGCTTCCTCAAGAGATCTGCCATGAACACAAAACTTAGTAATTCTGTTTACTGAAGTAGTTAGACCATAACCAGTCCTTTTGATCAGTACCAAAGGAAGAATCCCTCTTCTAATTAAGCTAACTTCATGCAAAACTGAGTCCATGGGTAGTCGGCTGTGCTCTGTACTTTTAATGAAACCCTCATTAGACACCAATGGTGGCTGCTCTCAGCTGCCTGTTCCCATTGTACTCACACAGCAACTGCAACATTCACTATCTTAAAAGCTACCAGCCCTGCCTAGATCTTTCACTGTGCCTTTATGAACTTGTGTAGGAATTTCTTCAAGCCTTTCTTAAACCTTTGAGATCATTTACATCCACAACCTTCTTCTGCAACAATATTCAGAAGTTTGCTACATGTTGGTTAAAAAACAGTATTTCCTTTCATTTATGTGAAATTAACATTTTCCTGCTAGTTTCATTGCATAATCCCTTGGCCCATTATTGTGGGATTTGATTAATGATTTTTTTTTAGCCATCTTATACAACACCACTGTGATTCTGTAGGACTTGAATGTATCCTTCAGCCTTTTCCTCTCCAAACTGAGGAATCCTATTCCCCCCCTCTCCCCCTCCTAATACCCACTTTAAAGGTCCCCTGAACGTGAGACATGTATCCTCCTGAACAGTTCAGGGCTGGAACAATGAAGGCAGGATGGCTCCTGCAGCATCCTTGTAGGCCTCATCTAAAAACCTTGTTTCTCTCAGGCACTCCAATTCAGATCCTCTCACTTAGGAAAATGAAGCAGTCCTCTGACAGGAGGACCTTACTGTTTCTTGGCTGGTTGTGCAAATCCCAGAAGTTCTCAGTAGCTTGGAGACAGACCTGTGTCATCCTGGGGGGCAGGTCTCTGCGCTCCGTGCACAGGATAGTCATGTCAAAGTAACTTCAACCACACTTTGCACATTTTCCTCTCGATATTACTTCATTTCTAAACAGTATTACATTTTCTGTCATTTTGAGCAGCTTGATTTCTGAGTAGCAACGATTTAAACATTTGTAAGCCAAGTGGTAATTTTGTGCGGCTGTTTCAAATAATTCTTTCTCAGCACCCTAAATTCTGCAGAGTGACTTGATAAAATTGGAGGTTCTTTCTGTGGAAATCCTCTCCTAACTTCTAAAGCATTAAAGACAGACTAAGTGTTTAAAATTGACTATGTTATGACTCCTCGTTGAATGAGAAGAAAAAAATACTTAAAACAATCTCGGACCAGCTTTCGAAAAAGAGAGAATACTTTATCATTTGTATTGATGTGTAAATGTGTTTCTTCCAAAAGGCTCCTTCAAACACTGAGAGTAGATTGCAGATTATAAAAGAAATATAATGTATGTCAAAGACTGATTGTGTTGGTTTTGTGTTTTGGTTTTTTTTATACAAGCTGACTAAAGTGAGTTTATAGGGGACAATTATTGAAGTCTTTCTCATTTTCTCTAGGAATTTTTTTCAAGCAGCATGTGATGTTCCTGAACCAGAGGAGAAATTCAATATTGATGAATACTCTGACATGGTGACCCTTAGCAAACCTGTCATATATATCTCCATTGAAGAAATTATCAACACCCATTCAGTAAGTCATTGAAAATGTACTAGTCACAGAATCACAGAATGTCATCAGACTAAAGTGTATAGATTATTAAATACTTGCAGCAGAGAGTCTCTGGGGAAGGCTTAGTATTCATCCTCCCTTTTGAAATAATTTCGTCCAGAATTGGTCTGGAATTGAGTATTAGATTGCATTTTTCCTAGAAGACTGCTTTAATGTAAAAACATTATCTTGAATTACTATTAGAATATAACAATTTCTAATGGGAAGAGAAACAAATTTGTTCTAATCCAGTGAGACATTTCTCCTTTATTTATACTTACAAATATTGCCCTGTCTTGGCTAAGAAAGTGAAATAAAGTTGAAGAAGTTTCTTTGACTCTGGGAATAAAGGAAAAATCAGTGTATTTCATAACTTCGGTATTCTGTCATATGCTTAGAAACACATGCAATTCTAAACTATTAGTCCAGAACTGAGCATGCTTTCCTACCTTGGGTCCTCCATAATCCTGATCACACTAGGTCTGTGTTTCTCAGCATTTGGTCTCCAGATTTATTTACAGGTATATAAAGACACTGGGAATGTTTCCTGTGGGGCGGAAAGGGGGAGTTGGTTTTTGGTTTTGTTTGTTTTGGATAATGACTTCATTTACATTTGTTTATAGCTACTATTAGAACACCAGGATGCCATTGCCACTGAGACTAATGACCTGCTAAACGAATTGCTGGAAGGGCTAGGACCTGTTCCTGATGTAGAGTCTTTCCTTGGTATGCTGTTCTTAATCTTTATGGCAAGCTTCACTCTAGGAGCAAAATTAAATGGAGGCTTGGTTTACATACTCATGTCTCTCACAGTGACAACTTCATTTACTAGAGAACTCATTTCTGAACACTTCGTGACATTGCTCCTTACAACTGAACCTTCTTCCAACTGCAACATTCATTTGAAAGATGAATGACATGATTCAAAATCCCAGCATTAATTAAGTTTTGAGGAGAATGATCCAGTTTTGCTCACATTGCAGATGAAAAAACAAGTAATCTTTAACAGCCTGATCTTAAGATTTGCTGGTCTTGGCTAGAAACTTACAAGAAGTGCACAGAGAAACCTTAAAACAAATTTTTTTTATTTGGTCACTTAATTATCCAAATGAAGTTTTAAAAATTATGCAAATATATTAGAGAGTTATAAGGAATATGGTGACCGTTATTTAATTTGCCTTAATCGTAGCAATATGTGAACTGTTTAGAAAGTAGCGAGGATATCATGGACAATACCAGCTTCCAAGTGAATAGCCTCTTAACAGCTGCTACTCCTAAATTTTTCAGTATTGCTGCATGTTAGGACAAATGATGTTAAATAGTTTCTTTTCTTTGGAAAGAAGACGTGAGTCTCTAGTACATCAGCAGCTTAAAAAGTAAGAATTGGTGGCATTTCCAAAATATTCTAACTTGGCTTACAGATAGCTGGCTTATGGTTTTGATTGTTTAGCATCTAAAAAAAGACTGCTTCTAAATGGTAGAAATAGGGATTTATCCAGGTTGTTGTTTGCTTCATGCACTGAGTCATGGGAAAATTGGCACACTTGAAGAAAAACATGTTTCCTTACAGGGGAAGGAGCTGTTGATCCCAATGACCCCAACAGGGAAAGCACACTGAATCAGCTTGCAAAAACAGAGATTTCGCTGTCTCTAACAAGCAAATACGAGTTACGAGAAGGTGAAGGTCAGGATCTCAAAAGCCTGATGATAAAGTAAGTTTTGCTCAAAAAAACTATTTTCTAGCGATGCTGGTGTTTGTTTATTTTTTAGAAAAGAAAAGCTTACTTCCACTGTGCTGCCCTGCCTAAGTCCATTCTGGAGGTGCTGAGTACACTCAATCTTCAAAAGCCAGTTTTTGTTCAGTCCTATTCAAACTTTTGCAAAAGTCAGTGGTAATGTCAGTTCTTCCAGAAAACTCACAGAAAGATAAACATACTGCCACTTGTGTTTTGAACCACGATTGGATCATTATCTAACGTAGTAAGTGCTTTTCCATAACGTTGTAAAAGCAATCTGCTTTAAAATAACACAGCCTTGGGAAAGCAGAGATGAGCAGCTCTCTAGCCTTGTAAGGGACTGATAGTGTCACGCTCTGTTCTCCTCCCCCTCAAAAAAACCCCCACACTTTCCAAATATAAGGCCATTGGGCCTTTGAACAGGATGTGACTGTCACTATGCATGCTTTTACCCAGGGAAAGAAAATGATGTTTGTTTTATTTGGTGACGAAATTAAGAAATGACTACTGGGATACCTTGGGATACAGGCTACTTCGTAGTCAAACTTATTTTTATAAAAGCATTTAGTATCCATTTATTGTCACCTCAACTTGGGAGTTACTTCAAGCTGTCAAGAATAAGTATTGGATTATTCAAGATCCTAGTGCTTCCTGAACAAGGAGGAGGATGGGATGCTGCTCTCCTCTTAATACACTTATTTTTATCCTATAAGTGTGAAGATTAAGTTCACTTTAAAGGGAAATACAGCATGAGGACTTTTTGCAAAGCACTAGGAGAGCAGATACAGGCTGTAATACAACCCTAATCTGAATAATTTTTTTTAACCAAATCAAAATTCAGTAAACTGAGTTTATTCAGCCATACATGAAGTTTTACTTTTGAAGAAAGTTCTTAGCTATAATGTCTGTACTAAGTAGTGCAATTTCCATAAAAGCCATAAATGCATGTTTAAAGTTTGAGGGGAAAAAAAAAATCTGATTTTAAGTCCAAAAAAGCTCATGCTATTTATCCTAAAAGGAAATGGAATTTTTACACTGGTATTGTGTGGTTTTGATCTGAATCTTGAACAAGAAAACACAAGTTTTTCTTCAACTTGTTATGAAACATAATTTGAGATCTGAAGTATCTTCCTAAAGTAAACTTGAGATCTAAAGTCACTTCGTATTCCAGAGATCAAGGCTCTAGAGCTGTGGCTGAGCTGGTTTTGTAATAATGATGTGCCTGCTGCTGTCCCTTAAAAAAAGGACAGGAAGCACTTTTTCTTTAGCTCCCTCTGTGTAGGAGTAAAATGTTACCACTTAGTGGAATGCGTAAAGATATGCAAAATCAAGCTGAAAGAAATGTCTTTAATCCTCTGCACTGTGTGGAATTATCTTGAAACAATAGCATGGGAATTAATGAAAGAATTTAACTTTTCTGTTGCATAAATGCTTTCAAGTAATATTTATCTTATTTTGATGAAATGCAGTAAATCTGACAGAAGAATAATTATAAACTTGTGTTTAGATTACAGCAATATCAGAAGTTAAAATACTTATTGCCACCTTTTACACAGGGGATGTGCAAATACAGATGCTTGGCTTTTCCACCTTAGCTGCAGAGAAGTTTTTTACTGCAACTCTGAAACAGTGAGCACCTGGCTAAAACTCAAATCACAGCTGATTAACTGAATGTACCTTGTTTCTCTGAGAGTGACATGCCTCTTCTATAGAAATATTGATGTATTTGCTTATTTAAATTAAGGCTTCTGTGAAGAACCGTAAGATTTGCTGGTGCTTCCATGTAGAGGACCCTGTCAGGTGCCCGAATTGTGTGCAGGTGCCCAGGGGCAGGTAAAGGGGGAGGCATCCAGCCCCCACGTTGGTTGTTTCTGGAAAATATCAGAGCTGAGCATGTTCAGTGTGTGGGAAGAGGAGGCTGGAGGGAGAGGAAGTGGAAAGAAGCCTTTGGCCAGCCATGTCGATGCCTGTGCATAAAAAAGGCAGTGCATAAAATTATAATGCTGTCCCATGTATGTTAATGTAGACCGTGGTGGTGACCACCAAAGCCTGACAAAGGTTGGGTCAGACAGAAAAAGCCCAAGTGAACTAACTTTAGGAAACCTTTCTGGACTTTTTCACTTTTTTGTTTTTTCGTTTTTCTCTCGGCAAACTGCAGTGGATTCCAAGAGAGTTTCTGAAGGAAAAATACATTTAACAGCAGTTCTTCAGAAGCTGTTGAATATGATAGAACGGCTTGGTGCAGTTAACAGCAGCTAGTTTCCAAGAGGTTTAGCAGCTTGCCTTCTAACATGAAAGGAGCAGTGCTCCCTGTGCTTCCAGTCATTCCTACCTTGCTGCCCTTCCACAGAACTTTGGATCATAGAAAAATACTCAGTAGTTTTAGATAAAGTTATCTGTATATCAGTAAATCTTTTGTCCCATTGTACTGCATTTTTATGAGAACTTCTAGTCCCAAAACCAAAACCTCAAACTTTTCATAGGCAAACTATCATTTTAAACTGTCATAAAGTTTTATCACAGAAGCATTGATCATATTTAGACATTTTCCTGGGAAACTTAAGCTACATCTTCAAGTTTCTGTTAATTTTTAAGAATAATGAGCTTATTTCTCATTTATAATTCTGTCCTCCAAATTAACAGAATTCTGTAGCAGGATGTTCTTGGAAGTATTCTGGATGAAAAGACAGCAGGTTTTTTTAATGAGATAAATTCTGACAGAAAAAGAACTGGTTTAGATATCAGGGTGTAGCAGCTTCCCTTTTTTAGCCAGGAAATGCTCCTTGCCTGTTGCCGCTACGAAATATCTGCCCTTAAGTGGTCTGTGTAAATGCACTGTGTCCGATGTTAAATTCCTTCAGAAATTCAGCAGTTTTGAGTGCATTGCCACTTTATTCATTAAATATGACCTTTTGTTAGATATGGAACCGTGCATTCCCCTCTGCTGTTTTGTCATGATCATAATTTAAAATCTACCTGTGAGTTGTTGCTTGGATTTTTATTACGTCAAGAGTAACTGTTATACTGTGCTAGTTGGTAAACTGTTTTCTAAAACGTAAGGGGAAAAAAATAAGCATATATTTCTCTATTCAGATCTGTGTAGAAGCCAGATGTCCAACATCATTAATGGAAGCTCTGAGACATAAAAAGCTAGGAAACATAGCAAGTATCCTTAATGAAGGGAGAGCTTGCTCGTTTTACTGTTGAAAAAATTAAATGCAGAAGTGATCCAATGACATGTGTCTTGTAATATCCATATAACCTTTTAACAGGACCAAGAGACTTATTGTGGATGTGATACGAACACAACCAGGGGATACACTCTTAGAAATATTAGAAACACCAGCAACGGTGCAACAAGTAAGTGCTATATTGTGCCTGAATAGGGAAGAAAGTACATGAGCTATTTGAAAGCCTTAACTGATCTCTGACAGCTTTCTCCACTGCTTTATAACAATGAAATAATTGTTGTTGGGTTTAGACTACTCAGATCTATACGTGAGACTTGCAAATTTTCTTGTACTGTGTAATTAGTAACCACTTCAAAGAAACAGAAAAATTGTCTTGCTGTCAATTAGCACAACTAGAATAATTTTTTTCTTTACCTTTTTTTTTTTTTTTTTGTAAACAGGGTCTTTTCTCTCATATGATGTCATACAAACCAAATAGCCTGAGATGTGAATCCTTCTGCTAGATTTTTTTCTTTTTTTTCTCATGAACCTCAGTATTGTAACTCAAGCTCTCTGACACGTAGCTTATTTGCTTATGCAATACAAGCAAACATCTGCCTGGGGAGCTACTGCTATCCTCAGGATGGGAATTGAGTGGGAAGAGTTCACAGTTGAAGACTTCCCTGGAGATAGTGCCAGACAAAGCCATGTCTGCATGATGTGCACGTTAGCTTACCTCGGTGTGTACATACATAAGGGATACCTTTGAGATCCGGACAGTCTTCCCACAAATAAGTGAGATCATTGAGTTGTATGGCCGATTTCAGACATGCTTTGATTAATTGAAACACATGTCTAGGTGCTGAGATTAGTTACTTAAGGTATGTCAAAAGGCATAGTAAATGGGCTATTTTCACATCATATGGTAATAAAGGCTGCACCTTGATTCTTGATAAACTCCTTTGAGAATTTAATGTACCTGAATACTCAACTATTATCATGAGCCAGAAAATAACTGTTCTGGATTTTTTTATTCTTTTATTTTTACCCAGGAGTCTGAACACTTGAAACTTGTAGAAAAACGTGCCATCTTAGATTCCAAAACTCCAGAGAAAATGAAGCACAGTCAGTCTATTTTTGAAGATGGGCAGCTACCAATAGAACAAAAGAAAAGGAAAATTCAGAGAAATCTCCGGCAATTGGAACAAGCGGGATTAGTGTCTTCAGCAACTAACTACCAAGAAATTATAAATGAGATCGCTAAGGTAAATGGAACACGTATTCCTGTACATTGATCGGTTTTAGGCATCTACCCTAAATCCATTGCTGCTAGAGAGATACAACATACATTTTCCAGAGAACACTACACTTAGTCATTCTAGTATGCAGATAAGAAACAAATCATCTTTGTGTGCTGACTAATTAAATGAAAGGCAGTATTCTCATGCATAACTACCTGAACTAAATAATATATTACTGTAGACCTTGCTATCCAGATTTGACACCGATGCTTTTTTAATATCTCCAGTAAAATGTGTTTCAATGTAGTTTTTTATATATTAGAAGGAATCAGAATTACCCATTAATGTTTCAGTTAATAACTAATGTAGTCCTGGTAAGACTTAAGAATATTCTTAAAACTCCAAACATTCTCTGACTGATATGGACACTAATATGCATTGGATGGGCAGGACACAAGGACACAAGTAATGGGCCCATGTGCTGCCTGTCCTGGGTCTGATAAAGCACTGGGTCTGTTGTGTACAAATTGTGTACAAATCCTTTTTCAAATCCACACCCAACACCAGCAGTAAGAATCTTAGTGTACTGGATTATCTTTAATTACTCATGAGGAAATTACTCATACGTTACATGAGGGATTTACATATAATAATTTTTTTTAAAAAAATGCAAATATATTCGAATATATAAATGAGTAAAGTACTCATGTAAGCTAAGTCTCTAATACAATTACATATGTCATGTTGCATTCTGAAGTGCCATTTTGAAGCCCTGCTTGGTTCAGGTGTCCACATCTGCCTCTACCTGAGACAAAACCTTTTTACATATGTATTTGGTGCCCCATTCTTTTTCACTTCTTACCTATAATCCCAGATGATTTGTTATGAGAGACAATCTGGAAGTTGTTTTTATTTTACTTTCAACTACCTCAACTCCCTCATTACCTTCAACCCAAGCTCTAGTTCAGTAGTATCTAGCTTTTACCTAATAGAAGACCAATCTCATTTCTTAGGCTTTTCACCAGAAACTAGCTGTGGGAAAGCTTTTGTTTCTAGCAAGAAGATGTCCTCTTACTTATAACTTCTGTGTCCCCCTGGAGACCACAGAAGAGATCAAGATACCACCACTTGTTAGATGAGTAGCAGACGTCTTCCTCAGAGTAATGTAAACTGCAGTTCTCTTTACTGGTACCATGCTTGTGAGAACACGACAGTTCATGCTTTCTCCCATTAATTAAGTCAAGTTGTGTAATTATGGATTAGAATGGTAATAAGCTGAGACTTTTTAAAATACCAGATTAATAGACTGATTACATTAATAAATTTATTTAGGATATCCGGAATCAAAGAAGATACAGACATCATCGAAAAGCTGAACTGGTGAAACTCCAACAGACTTTGAATGCACTTAACTCCAAGACAGCATTTTACGAAGAACAAATTAATTATTACAACACCTATATAAAAACTTGTTTAGACAACTTAACAAGAAAGTGAGTTGAGTTTTCTTGTCATTTAATACATCAGTGTGTTTTATCAGAAGAGAGAGCAGATGTTAATCTATAGTTGAAAGATTGATAATCCACGGGAGTTTTCACTGTGATGTAAGTCAAAAGCCAGAAAGTAAAGTCTTATATTTATTTAAAGCTATCTTGCAGAAGGCCAGAGTGTATACATGTTTTCAATATATTTAATTGATGGTACTCTGCACACCCATTAGTATGTTTTGAAGTTATGCAACTTTGCTCTAAAAGGAATGGATTTTGTTCTTAGAATGGAAAAGGGTGAAAAAATGCTTAAAGAATTTTACTTTTCAGGTATGATGCAGTTACTCAAAAGCAGGATTTTTTGTTATCTTCCCAGAAATTCGCGGAGGTCAATTAAATTAGATGGAAAAGAGGAGGTAAGGGGAAGCAAAAAATTGAAGCAGGCCTCATTAAAATACACTGCTGCAAGGCTGCATGAAAAAGGTGTCATCCTAGAAATTGAAGATCTTCAAACCAACCAGTAAGTGTGGTATAAAGCAATTCAGAGTGTTTTCTTATCAACAGCTTAAGGAGTCTGGCTTTTGTTAAAAGAAATCTTTGGGTTCCTGCGCCATACCTAAAATCAACTCGGACTTTTACATTCAGAAGAACGATAAAGCCTAGTTATCATAATTCATATTTTTCCCCTGTACCTTGCTATATCATTACCTTGGAGAAAATATTTGAATACGCCTGTTTTGACATTGGCTTAGATGGAACTAGTACAAGACTAGCAGCACCTTCACTGCTAATGACTGACTTGTTAAGTAGTTGTAGCAGTTATCTTTTTCATTTACCAACCAATTACTTTCATATGACTGAGTAAACACCCATTTCTGCACTCTCTTACTATGGCAACATCAACAGATGTCGTGGTTTAACATCCTTTCTGAGATTGCTGTCGTGAAAATCTTCCATCCTTTGCACTCCTTCATCCATATTCTACATGGAAAATAGTTTTCCAGGTTGCAGGTTTTTTTTTTTCAAAGTTAATTCCTCAGATGGGGTAATCCACATGAGGCAAACTGAAATCAGAGAAGAGTGTGTATGCACATGCAAGGAGACACTCAGGCACGTAGCAGAATGAAAATCTGGCTGTCCTGTTCCTATGCTGTGGACGCTTGGTGATCTTTGTTTCCTGGACTTACCACAGTCCCTTTTTATTTCTCCCCCTCAAACCCCCCAATATAAAAGACTTGAGAGCTCTGTATTCCACACTATATGTATACCCCAAAGTCTCCAAGAAGACATCCCAGTAGGGATGGAGTGGTTCAGTTGACGCTGTTTACATTGCTTACCCTGAAAGTTCTTTCTTGTTCTGCAGGCTTTTTCCCCCACACTGTCTCTGGACTACGTAAAACTGCACAGCATACATAATCAATTACACTTCTTTTTGATTCAAGGTTTAAGAATGTGATGTTTGATATCACACCTGGAGAAGAAGTGGGTGATTTCGAAATCAAAGCAAAATTTTTGGGAGTTGAGATGGAAAAGGTACAGCTCCATTTCCAGGTAGGGTTTGAAATCTGTTACTCTGATATATAGTCACAGTTCCATTTCCTCTGAATGTAAACTATTTCAGATTTTTTAATATGTATTCATGAACTATTCAATCAGTGCACAGAGTTAATGTTTGTATTAGGGCAACTACATGAAATCAAAGGCCACATTAGTTCAGTTGAATTTGGTGCTAACAATGCCAAGGTCGTGGGTTCGATTCCTGTTCAGTCCCCATGTGTTGCCTGATGTAGTTGAGAGGTGGTATCCCTGGCAGCAGGGAGGCTGGATTAAAATGATCTCTAAGGTCCCTTCCAGCCTAAGCCATTCTATGATTCTATGATTAGTTCAGTGGTAAGCAGTAAGTAGCGACAGAAAACAGAATACACAGAAAACAGTATTTCTTCCAGTTTGTTGTTACTGAGAGTTTACCATTTGTGATCCAGAGAATGTGTAATGTTTGCCACACACATCCAACCATTGCTTGTTTAAATTGTGAAGGATCTGCAGTTTAAAATAGTTACCACATGATGAAAATGTAATTGTCTGTTGATTAGGACTGACTGACCCATGTTCAACTGAAAATGACCCCATCTTGCTGTAAGGTACGGATTCACACAGTGACTAATTATTTTATTTCTGGCTACAGGATTTGCTTCAGATGCAGTATGAAGGTGTGGCTGTAATGAAGATGTTTGATAAAGCTAAAGTGAATGTGAATTTGCTCATATTCTTGTTGAATAAGAAGTTCTATGGAAAATGAATGTCTTCAGATACCGTGAACTGCATCCATCAATGGGAAGTCTATTCCGTATTTGTTTTTGCTTTTAAACATGTGTTTGAAGCTTGTCACTGAACACTTTTTAATTTAATAAAAATAAACCAACAAATGTTCAGAGGAATGTACACAGTGCCTTTTCAGCATTAATAATGAAGCAGAAAAAGCGACAATAGATTAAACAGCTTCAGATTTTATTGGTGTTAGGACTTCCAAATCAAAATATTGTTTAGGAGACTCAGCTATTGTGGTTCTATGGATTTTAAGGTAGGCAGAAATTGATTTTAGTTGACTATATAAACCTTTTCCTATTAAAACATTTTTAAATGACCTCAGATATATAATATAGCTCTTATTAGACTTTAAGTATTTACCAAAATAAATCCTAATTTGTTTCTAAGGGATAGTTGGGGCAAGTATTTAGTTACATACTAAGCCTATTTTCTGGCAGTTTTCAATTGTAAAGCAAACTTATTGTGCAATTCAAAATTTTTATAGGTAATTATAAAGTGACAATAACGTCTTACTGTACAAAAATATATTTTGTGATTCATTCCTACTAAATGCACTACTGCCTCATGTAAAATGACATTTTCTACTTTCACAGCCTTTGGAGTGGCATTGGGGAAATCTGAATAGCGAACACTTGTTGTTCAGTTTGAAGTATTTGAGTACCTTTGGAGTGGCATTGGGGAAATCTGAATAGTAACCAGTCATCATTCAGTTTAAAATATTTGAATACGTAAATTGTGCCTGTCTGTCTTTTTTTTTTTTTTGTAAGAAAATGCAATAAAATCAGTATCTAGATTTTTTTTTTAATATTCTTTGGAGATTGTTCTATGTAAAATAAACGTTACCTAATTAAACTGGCTTGATTCCTAAATTTCACGTAAAAGAATCATTAAAGCAGCCACCCAGATGGTAGTGAAAGAACTTCTTTCAGTGCTTTTATAAAATTGAATCTAATTAAGCTTGTATTGTCCTCACAGTATATTTTGGGACGATTGTTCAGCAATGAAGACTTCATGACCTTTTGGTGATTGAAAGTGATGACAATTTTGTTGATGAACTAGTATTTATATCTTCAGAACAAAATTGTGTGCAGTAGGTAATGTGGTAAATGTATAAACTAAGAGAAAATATTTCGTACTCACACGTTTCTCATGACAAACATAAAAATGGGCTGTGAGGCATTCTGGAATGCATTGTAAAAGCAAATGTTAAGTATTAGTTTTGAAGGTGGAAAAAAAAACAGGGTAAAGTCAGTGGCAGATATATAGACTGCAACTTTAGTTGACATACCTGTCATATTATACAATCTGAAAAAAATTACTACACTTAGAGACATTAATTTATGTATTAAATTGGAACATTTGACTACTTTAAAACAGTTAATATCCCTAATTAAAAGATAAACACCTCCTCTGTGCTTTCATTTTTCTTCTAACTAGTTATATATAGGCCATTTCAATATTACATAAATACTACAGTACTAATACCTTAGTTCACTTAAAATAGCTGGATGGGAAGGTGATAGCAGCACTTTCACTTCCAAAGGAAAGTAGTGAATTGTACTTGAATGCAAATTCTACTCGCAATCTTTTGTTTCCTATTTGTAAGAGACTTGACTAATCCCTGCATATTTCAGGCAATTCTAGCTGAACAGTTAAGTCTGCACAGGTGGGACATTAAGCTGAAATCCAGACCTTTGAGGTGTCAAAAGCCTGGAGTTCTGCTGGTGAGACCCCACAGTCACTCCTGGATATACTGTTTTGTGTAATGCACTTGACACATCTGGTGACTGCCTAGTTATAATGTGAACAGCATGTTGATCAGTTATTTCATGATGTACACAAGCTTAGGAAAGCTTCTTAGGTTCCCAGGTAATAACATATATGAAAGGTACAGCCCATGTACTAGCACTCACCTTTTCCAACCATTTCTTGGGGTTCCTGCCCTTCTAGCGCACATCAAAGAGGAATTCTGATTTCATTTGTTTAAATGTCTTTTAGATTTTTGTTTCTTAATTAACTAGTTTGGGGCCTTATCACTGAACAAACAGTGAACTCTGCTAAACAGAACTGACAATAGTGATTTCTACCTAGGTTTAAGATTGATGGTAGTATCAAGTACTACGTAAATGAGAAAAGTAATTCTGTGCCCACCCACTGCTGTCCTATGCTGCTGACAGCTACGAAATACAACAAAAAAGGCATTTTGGAGGCTGCTGTAATTAAAGGCCCTACATTTAAAGGCTCTAAAAGTTATACAGCACTTGATGAAACCAGTTTCATTCACTGAATGGTCTTGTGGAAAGACTTGCATTGCTGGTGCAAAACCTGAGGAAAAGCCTGGACTACAGTTGCCACCATCAGACAAAATGCATCTTTCCTTGAAAGACTTGCCTATCTCTCAATTTGTCTTTCTTAGCCAGTGGCAGGGAAAAACAATTATCATACTTAATAGTCTGTCAGCCCTGCAGTTTCCATTTTTCTATCATATCTTTAGACTGAGTGCTTGGCAGCTCTAACTTAGTGTACTTTGGAACTTAACCATTCTAATGGGGCTCTGAAGCTCTGAAACTATCCACAAAGCTGCAGAACATCTTTTTTTCTTTGGCCAAGCAGACAGAAACACTATTAGAAGCAATAGCTTCGCTCAGTTTCACTCTGCTATCTGCAAACCTTCTTTAGCTGACTTTTTTTAAAAGAATACAGGAGCAACACAACTAACTTCCATCTAAATGCAGTTCCAAACAACAGTGACATCTGATTTCAAAAAGTTTGTAACTAGACAGACAAGCCTCTTCCTAGAGGCCCATGTTTCCCTCTTAAGATATCCTTCTAACCTCACCTTCTTTGACTGGTAATGCCCACCCCAGGCATGCACCAGGGTAATCTGTGTATTAAACAGCACAAAGATGGCTCCTTCCCCAAACGGTAATGCTGTAGCAATCTTACTAGAGAGCAGTAGGGCCTCGTACATTTAACAGGAATGAAGCTTCATCCTGTAACATGCTTCTGAAAAATGTGCAAGAAATAGAATTAAAAAGTAGTAGCTGGTAAAAGTTTAGAAATCATGAACTCTTTATCTAGAGAGAAAGTAGCAAGCTGACTTGCTTAACTACAGGATACAAAAGTTAACCTAAACTTATTTCTCATATGCAGATAGAAAATTTAGCAAACACAGGGTGGTTTTTTTATTATTCACTTGTTACATTTAGTCTACGAATATGAAAGGACAAAACCCTGTGACTGTTCCTTAAATCTGCAGCTGAGATACTCCCTGCAGATACAGCCTTCAGTTTCTATCTTTCACAAACTCTGTAGACCGTGTTTTCCTCTCAAGCACCACCCCACTCCCTAAGGCTCCTTGAAACCTCAGAAATACAAATACTAACAAGATGTAGAGACCCGAGGACCGCGTTTGTAGAGCAGCTTTACTGAACCAACCCCCCCGATCCACGAGCAGGCTTCGTTGTCGCCTGCTTCATACAGAGCGAATCAACGTATTGAGGAGCTTTTGTGAACGAGTGTGATCTGTCGAGTCGCGCAGATATTTCAGCTGGCCCTGTTATCTGTGCCACCCGGGGCATCAGCCCTTTGTTCCCCATCTCCCGCCTCCTCACCCTCCCCGTTGCCCGCCGGG